TCCACTCTCTTTGTATATACAACTGCAGGTTTATATCTCCCGGGTTGTTAAATAAGTTTTGTGGAAATCACGAACTAGCAATATACCAGCATGGTAACTGGCAATATTTTTAAAAGATACGCAAATGAAGGAAAAAATGCGTTTGTCAAAAGAAATCACCAATTTTCGCGAAAAAAGAGCAATTCCCTTTTGAGGAGAAATGTCATTTTTTGCAAAACAACATAAACAGCCACAACAAAAGGATGAGGCTTAAAATCATGAACAACTTTAAAAGAAAAATTTCAAATTTAAATGGCATAATCTTCCAAATTTTCACAGATAAGACAAAAAGAAAATTTACGAACATGAATATTATATAACATTTATCCAGCATTACGTGTTGTTATGCAACATTTGTGTTTATTTTTTCCTTTTCCTTTTTTTCTTCGCACAAAATGCTCGCGCTTTCGTTAAAACATGCAACTGATTCCACGAGGTTCACATTTGTGTTCAGTTTTTTGTGTGTTGCCAAAAAAAAAAGATCAGTGTTGCATCTTTTTTAATTATGAAGGATTGCGAAGTATGAAAAAGGCTTTTTTTTTCTTGCGGTGAATATTTTGCCATGATGTTAAAAAATTCAGGCAAGTTCCCACGTATGTACGTGTATGTAACTATATATGTGTTTTTTTTTTTTTCTGGAAAAATTTCCATTTTTTCCTGACTGTACAGGCAAAATTAAGACAGTTTGGCTCGTGTGCATGCATCGAGCTATTTGAAAAAAAAAAATATGAACAGTTAATATGGATGGATAATAAAGACAATCAACATGGGCGGCAATATGTACAGCCAACATGGGTGGTTAATTCAATTCGCCCACCATGAAAACAACCCCTAGTAAATTTTTTCACATAAGTAGAATAATTCACCCATGTCTCCCTTTCTCTTTTTTGAACTCACCAACGTTGGGAACATGTTTGGAAAATGCAACACCTTTTCACAATAAAAGCGTGGAGACTTTTTTTGGAGGGTTCTTAAGTTATGAAACATGGCGAAGCCTTTTTTATGGGCACTTTCCATGATCAGTTTTTACGAGCGGCTTTTACGCTAAATACTTGTTATTTTTTGTTTTTTCAACTCCAAGACAGGAGGAGTTATTGCTCATTTGTGAATCCCAATATGTGAGGCGCAAAATTTAAAAGAGCAGACTATGTGTTGCGTTTTTTACATGCACCATGGGGGGAGGTCTAGACCCCTTCGAGTGTGGCATCTGTTGTAACGGTTCCGCACACGGGTATGTATGTGTATACATATATATAAAGGGGGGGGAACCAAGGGCCTTGGGTAAAGCCTAGCGCAAATAGGAAAACAATGCGAACATACCTGTTTGTACATGAAGTCGTATGCACACACATCTAGATTTCTTTTTACACACCCCCAACAGCTATAAAGAGAAATTCCTCGTGTGTGCACGCTCGAGTGAGACAGTTGCACGTTTATAGGGTCTTAAAATTAAGGACCGCAAAATTTTACTTTTAAGATTTGCACAAAAGGGAATGCGCAAGTAGGTGTCCCCCAATAGGCATTGCAAATAGGCGATCCCCAACATTTTTTGCTTTGGAAAAGCGTTTATAACGTTTAGATGCATTCAAGACTAAATTTTTTCCCGGCGAGGGATTAAACAAATATATTTTCCATCATAAGTTAATTAAAAATGGGTGGTGCGCTGCGTTACGTTATGTCACGTTAGGATAGCTGTTTAGTATTAGACAGAGGAGGTTAATTTTTTGATCATAAAAAATGAAAGGGGAGACGGGTTCTGACGTGACTGCGTCTCCATCAGAAGCGACAGAATTGTGACTCTGGCAGTGCAGAAGTGGATGGCAACGGGTCCGGAGGCCTCAAAAGGGAGAAATGTCCCCATGTAGACCTTAGGCAAAAGGATGCACTATTTTGACTTCACTTTATTTCATTTGACCTTACTTTATTTGCATGATTATCTGGTAACTATTCCGTTCCCTCCTCATTATATAACTCTCCCTGTAACATCCTTATGACCGCGTTGTCTCTAATCAACTCTTCTGAAATTAAACTGACATAGTCGTACTTACAATGAGGGCACTGTACATCTGTGTTCGATTTTTCCTGTAAGCAGTTTGGGCATTTTAACCTGGACACGATGAAGTCCAAATTTCCTTCATCTTCCAAATTTTGCAATGCTATGTCGTTTCCTATTGATACTCCATCGATTAAAATTTGAGGGAGGACAACTCCGTTTTCGTTTGACTGCAGCAATTTGTCTTCCTTCCACTTGTTGAAAAGTTCCTCGTCTTTCAGGTCTACAAAGGGGTGAGAGAATTACATGTGAAGAGGAAATGAATTAAAGTGCACGGTGGCGCAGAAAAGGATTCACCAAAGTCTGTAGTGTACTAAGTAACTGAAACGGTGAGACATCTCTAGGTAGGTAGAAATTTGCTCACTTTTTGCCGTGCTGGTGTCCCTATTGGAGTCTACAACAACGTAGAGGAACTTTTTACAATTCAGTAAGTTCTGTGCCCTTAAAGAAGAGAAGAACGACGATTTTATTCCCCCCAGAGACGTCGTTATGAGAACGATCTCTGCTTCTTGCGCTGGGAAGGGGTAAATCATTATGAAGTGTGTAGCTTATGTGATGACGAAGGGGTGCGTATTCTGCATGCAAGGGGTATCACTAGTTACTGCCTTCCTATTGTGAATTATTATTATTATTTTTTTTTCTTTGAATGCTTACTTATTGAGATTTCATCTGGTCCTAAGGAGGCGAAAAAAGTGAGGGAAAAAAATGAAAACAAATTAACCACATTTGCAACGCTGGCATCGGAGCAAATCCCATAAACGGTCCTTTCCCTTTTTTTCCGTCTTACCTTCATATTGGCACTCCGTGTTGTCGTTCTCCACAGCCTCAGGGGCGTCTTCCACGTTTTCAGTCTCCATGGCGAGAAAATGTGCATGTACTTGTGAACGTTGCGTGCGGGGGTTGACGTATTTAAGCATACATATGGATACATATGCAGATGTATTCGGACGCGAATGCGCAACTTTTGTTCACTTCCTCAAATTGCGAATGTCAACCGCGCCTGCGAGTCAATTGGAGGGAAAATAGCTCAACAAAAAAATGTCTCAACAGGAAAATCGCTCAACAGAAAAATAGCATATTTTAATGGGCACGAAAATGCGCATATTGGGAGCTAGCCCGGCGGGGACGCTTGCCCCAGGCGTGAAGCGCTTTAGAAAAAATGGCAGATGAAAGAAAAGGCGAACTAACTAACGAATTGGCTAACAAATGAATAAACTAACGAAGCAAATGACGAGGTAAGGGACAGAAAAAAGTGAAAAATACGCCCCCCTGCGGTTTTCCCTAGGGGGATTTACAACCTCCGAAACTTCCGCCGTCGCACATTTTTCGCATGAGGAAAAGCCGGAAAAAACGGGAAATTAAAGAGGAAATAAAAAATTGCTCATAAATTACTAACGAATTGAAAATTAAAAAAACGCATGTGTGGATGTTCTTCGCGTGTTTACGTTTTTATCTTTGCACATGTTCATTTTGTTGTCTATCTGTGTGAGCGCGTTTGTGTGTGTGCACTTTTGCTCTTGTCATCCGTCCGACAAATTTGATTCACATATGTACAAGAATAAGTGTTTTCCCGAATACGAGCATGCAGAGTTTAACCAGTTAATTCCCCTTTTTGTTAGATTAATTTCGGTAAAGTGGTCTCACAAATTGTATCAGATTTCATTTTACCTCCTAAAAAAATTTTTTGCAACAGGATTTTGCTTATTTTTGCTCGTACGATGGAAAGAATTTGCGAAAGTTTAAAAACATTTTCAGAAGATAACACTCGGGAAAAAGTAAATCCATGCACACGCTTCGGTCTTTGTCCAATTTGTGCCATTTTTTTTTTGGGCTCTTCTGAAATGGCGTTTGCCAGAAATATGTGGAGAATTTTTTTTCTTAAATGTGAAAATGGGAGAATGAGAAGGGGACAAAAAGAAAAAAACATACACGTGTGCATCCCTCGATCCGTTCGCACATCCTCCCATAATTAATAAACATGGCCTCCATTTTGTTCTGATAAAGATACCCGCATGGGTAACCCAACACAAAGTGGAGGCAACTCCAAAGGGGAGCCAACTGGTGTAGCTAAACTACCGAACTGTAATGCAGTCGATTGGAAAATATGGCCCTCTTGTGTGATCAGGGAATGGCGGACTTGATGGCGATCTCCGTGCACAGAAAGACTCATGCGGATGGAAGTCTGCGACATTGGAAAACTTCCCCCGTCGGTGTCTTTTGTCCACGATCATCACATGTGAGTTTCTCTGCAGATACGAAATGAAGCAAGCAGGCCTGTCATTTTATGTGCAAGAATCTCACTTGAGAATAATGTAGGTGCTGCACACGTGAGGTCCCGATGGTAAATATTTTGCTCTTACGTTTTGTTCACCTCACCTTTAACGAAAAAAGGGGTGACCAATGAAATTGTTATATTAAGAATGGGTGTGGCGTTTTTTTTTTTTCTCTTTTTTAAGTTGAAGGTGCTGTCATTTTTTAGGTGACAAGAGGTGCAGAGAAGCTAGTTTGTCCTGCGCCTCCTTTTTTGTACTCACTAAAAAGGGGGGCGAATCAGGATTTTCTCCAGACCCGCAGCCGAGAAGGGTAAAATTAGCTGCTAGACATGAATAACCCACGAACAGAGTAGATCGGGGTGGGAGTTAGAATAGAAGTTCCCTTATCCTGTGGCACAATTTCGGGACATCTCCCTTAGGGATTTCAACAACGGAACCAGGGGAATTCCCCCAACATAGAGTGTAGAAAAAAAAAAGTGATATAATGGTTTTTTCGCGTCACGTGAGTCAAGCGTGCTCTAAAGTAGAGTCTGTGGTGACGCACGGAAATGGTCGAGGCGGATAGGCACGAACGTGTAAACTTGTGATCGCCTCAGCACCACAGCGTATTAACATTACGTACCTCGCCTTGTGCACAAACGGGGGAGTATAATCACAAGGGCATCCCGACGATCGACCCTTCCCTAATGAGCACTCCCCTTCTCGCGGTTCCTTTAAGTGTAGCAAATAACAAAAAAGGAGAGAAAGAAAAAAAAAAAAAAAAAAAAAAAAAAAAAAAAAAAAAAAAAAAAAAAAAAAAAAAAAAAAAAAAAAAAAAAAGAAAACAAGAAAAAGAAACACGCAAGGAGGATATCTACCTCATGAGGGCGGATGAACTTGTGATGAAGAGGCTGCTGCGATTTGAAAAATATGATAAAATCGAGAGCACTAAAAAGTTAAAACACACAGTAGCGGTAGTAGTCGCGGTGACCTTCGCAGCAGTTGCGAGCATGGCTGTATGGGAAAGAGGCGGCATACCGATTTCCGTAGCCAGCCGAGATCAAAACTGAAGGGATCGTTTCGAGGCCACACGCTTGAATCTGCGCACTTATGGAAGAACCCCAGCGGCTAAGGCGGACGAGGACACATCACCTACGCGTGCACCCACATGTGGAGGCGCGCGTATCCCTCTGGAGTTACCCCAAGGGAAGAACTGACGAAGGGACGCTAACATGGAGCTCTACGACGAGGAAATCTACGACAGGGCCAGTGTAAACATTAGCGTAATTCTTAATGACGACATAAAAGAGGAGATAACAGAAAATTTAAAGCAAAATATGAAGGAAAGGAATGTGAAAATAAGCAGCTACGATTATGGCAGTATTCACAAAATAAATTCTTGGGCGAGTGAGGCGGCAGATGGGGGTGAGGGGGAAGGTGGACATGCCATGCTGATGCACGCCTGGCTGAAGAAGATGAAGGTGGCTTCGTCTGTTGTCATATTCTGCGTCGATTGGCAGGGGATTGTTAATGAGGGGGCGGAAGACAGGGGCTCAAGTGGGGAGAGTCCCACCGTGGAGGGGTCAACCCGGGAATGTCCAACTGGGGAAAGTCTTCCCCTGGAGAGCCCCAGCCAGGTCGACCCCTTCCAACCGGGTGAATCGCATCTCACCCACGCTTGCGTGCAGAACGCATCCTTCATGAGCCAAGTGAACAAAGACCTGATGGACCAAATAGAAGAAATAAACGCAATAATCATGAGGAGGAAAAAAATTTGCAAAATTGTTGTGCTGGTCATTTTGCCAGAAAACACACAAAATACAGAACCCTACATCAAATATATTAGCCTGTTAAATTCTAAAAACATCAGCGCGATATTTATCACATTAGGACTAAAGGAGATACATAACAAAATCAAAAAGTTAGAAAATCTTCTGAGGGATTGTATTAATGCCTTTTTTAAGCAACACATAATCAGTTTTGAGAGGAAAAGTGGACAAAACATCCTCACTTTTTTTAATTATAATTTTAAGAAGGCATACGTTTTGGAGATCCTAGAAAGGTATGATGAAAGTATGAAGATTTACGTTAATCTATGTAAGGTGTTCTATGAACATGCAGGTGAAAATACATTTTCTGACAAACACACCTTTTTCAAGTATGTTATTTTTTTCAACTCAGTCAGTATTCGGATGATATACATTTATTTATTTTTTAAAGATTTTAACAAGGCCATTCATCATATTTATACTCATAATAAAATTATTTACTTGGCATTGATGCGGAGGGAGGAGGAAGGAGGAGGAGAAGAAGAAGCAGAAGAAGACCGTGTTGGGGATATAGCCAGCGGTGGGGGGACACTCTCCCAGGTCATTTCCATGTATGGCATAACTGGTTGCTCTGATTTGATTACCTCTTTGCACTGTTGGGATAACTTCAAACAAGACACACCTAATGGAGAGGAAAACTACTCCGCGAAGGAGAGTGCCCACCTCCTGTACGACCTCACGATGAAAGAGTACCTATATTACAACCTGCTGTCTTGCGTCTACCTCTATTTTTACAGAATTGTAAAAAACATGAACATAAACCGACAGGACACAGTGTTGTATGGGATGTACTGCTGCTTCTGCATATATTACATGTTGAAAGCGCGCAGGAAGAGGGACAAAATAGTGGAGGTCTTTTCTGCTGTCATCGAATTTGACACTTATTTTAAGATATGCCCTGTTGCAGTTTTACAGGACTTTGTCCAAAACTTTTTAATTGAATTATATATCATCATTAGCGCCAAGAAGATTAGCAATTTGTTCAGACTCGTCATTTATTTTTTGTGTATGATTTATTACGAACGGGGGAACTACCGCTTTTGTCTGTACTTGTTGCTGTCGTTTTATGGCAGTGGGAAGGACTCCTTCGTTTTGAGTGCAGTCGGCGCGGGTGCCTTGAGGCAGGGGATCTGTCCCTTGGGTGACTTGCTCTCTCTGTTGGAGGAGATATCGGCGAAGCGGAGCTACGAGCGCACTCGGTAAGGCTCCACGGATTAGCTGCTTGGCAGCATCTCACATTAGCGACATGGCACGTTTGTGGCTTCCTACCTTGGTTGCTTCGTGCGATGAAGTGATCCTCTGAGCTTCGTCGCTTCTCAGTGCCCCCATTTTGCGAATGCTATGTGTCCATTTTTAAGCCCACCTTGTGTGTTAATTCTTTGCCTTTTTTTTTTCCACTCTCCACAGCAACTCACATACGCACGAACCCATGCTGCTTCTCACGCTGAGCTGCATGGGCCGCTTGCTGTACCCGGATAAATGGGGAAGCGCCACAGACGAATCTCCCTCGAAAGAAGAACCGCTTAACATCAAGGAGTACCAACACATGTTCATCCAAATATGCTTCGAGTATTTAAACGACCTAATAAGGAACAACAAAAAAAGACAAGAGAAAAATTTTAGTGACTTTTTCTCCAAATATTGTGAAAGCATAAAAGGAGAAGAGGTTCCCTCCCCCGAGGAACTACCCACTATATGGATACGAACCATCTACATAAAGTTATATTGTTTGATTAAACCCAATGGGATTGCCTCATTCTTAGAAATAAAAAACGGGACCCACGTGGATTTCCCCTTTTCACCTTTTATCGGAATTTCTATGAATAACCACTTGTCCTTCTACAAGTTAACCTTTTCCAATAAGTCTGATGGAGTCATTTTTGCTACAGCGGAGGTTGTGAACGAGGTTGGGGTGAATGGCAAAAGTGTGCTCGACTGCATAGCAAGGGAGAGTGCGCTCAATGAGCAGCGTGACTGCAGGAATGATTCACTTAAGAGTGCCTCTTGGAAGGGGTACTCTCTGGGGGAAAAAAACATAGTGAGTTTTTTCTTATCTGGGGGAAGGAGGAACCAAATAGAAGTTAATTACGTTGATCTCTATTTGACCATTCATTGCAACATTTTTCGGATGCGAATTCATCAAGTTAGTGTATCCATTCTGAGGGAGAATTTCCTCGAGAGCATTCCTCTGGGGAGCGAACCCTCCAAGGTAGGTAGTGAACACGAACAAAGATCTCAACGCAAAGAAACCCTAAATCATGGTACGATTGATGCCCCGTCGGGAGAAGTTACCCACGAGGTAATTACAACACCACACCCGAAGGAACCAAAAAAAGAGGAAATAAAAATATTCCAAATGAGAGTAATCAAAGAAGGAAGGGAAGAATTAAATTTTTTCAAATTGAAGGAAGGAGTGTACCTAAATGATTACATGAACAAAATTGTACCAAACGGAAGGAGTCAATTTCTTCACAAGGCTCTAACAAAGTATGTCCATTATTTTGTACACTGTCAGAACGATGTTCTTTACCTAAACGAATACAACCCCTTGTACATTTTTGTGAGGTACTCTAAATATGTAAAGACTTATGAGTTTTGTTTTTCTTATGACTGTGAGGGAGAGGATGATTTGTTTGTTTATTTGTTGACGAGGAAGGGCAGTGTTGTGGGGGTCCACCGGGTCCGCAGAGATGAGAGGGTTGCGTTTTTTGGGGGGGGCGAGGAAGTCTGCAGGTTGATGCAGGGGGATAGCAGTGGTGGGAGCAGCGGCGATAGTAGTGATGGGAGCAGCGGCGATAGTAGTGATGGGAGCAGCGGGGCTAGTAGTGATGGAAGAAGCAGCGATTGTAATGATGCCAGCAGCGGCCATTGTAGTGATGGCAGAAGCGGTCAGGACGGACTTGTCCAAGAGAAGCCCGCAGATGCTAGTCTCACATGCTCTGGGGATACGACGCGGCTATTCATCAACCAAGAGGAAGTGAAAGAGTTGGTCATGGACGAGGCCCTTCAGGAGTTGTTATCGCACCGTGCCAGTGGAAAAGTAGACTCGAAGTTAAGCCACCCAGATAAAGATATATTATTTTTTCAAGTCCAACAGCAAGGAAACGCTGTTGATGCTAAGCGAAGCGCGGCGAAACTGTACGGCAGAAGCAACTTCTGCAACCAGTGCTGCATGTCATATGGCATGAAAAGGGGAAGAAGAAACGGCGGTCCACGCGGAGTAAATCGGCGAACGAACTGTCGAACGAACTGCCAAACCAATAGTCGAACAAATCAAGCAAGAAACGATTTCCCCTTTTACGCAAGCGGTGCGGAGAAGCTCATGTGCGTCCCACTTCTTGTATGTCCAACTCGGGGGAGCAAACAGATGAATGTCAATTTTGACTTTTCCTTTAGAAGCGTCGGCTTCGAGGACCAGATGAAGTACCCAGGGAGGTATTCCGTGGAGCCGTCTATCATAACGATGGTGACGCGGGTTTCCCGTGGAGGGGGCGCCATTGAAGAGGAGAAAGAAGAGGAAGAAGAAGACATTGGTCTAAAAAGGAATACTATGAATGGGGGTGTCATCAATAGCGGAGCCACGGAGGAGGTTTCCGCTCCTGCGTCCACACCCAACGACTGCCAAGATGACGTGCAACTTTTAAGCCATCGTAAGAAGGAAAAGACAAGCAGCGGGTGGAGAAACCACGCAGTGCAGTATTACCTATACATACACAACAACAACGCGCATGGAATTATCGTTCACGAAATAAGGGGAGGGATATTGAAAGGTACCGTAGAGGTAACTCACAAGAGTACTTACTGCAACTTCGTAAAAGAAAACAATCCAGAAGGGGGTGGCATTATCATAAAGTACCACTTTAACGTTAGGAAGCTCTTTTTCCCTTTTAACAAAATGTGGAGAAATATCATCTGTACACTTGTGGTAAAGGTGCCACCTGCCGATCGGATGGACGGCAGGATAAGCAACAGGGAAGGGAACTACTACTCCCCAGTCAACGACGCGAAGAGAAGCAAAATAAGGATAGACCTCCTATATGAAAGAACGGCAAAATGTAACGAAATTTTTGTCGTCGAATCGGTGATTACTAATGAAACGAATATCACCGAGGAAGTTATAATTTTTTTGTACGACCGGAAGAGGAGTGGGCGTCGTCGAGGGAAGAAAAGAAAGGAAGAAGATGTTGTCATGAAAAGCGCTTGGGATGAACCCAGCAGCGTACAGAGTAGCAGAAAAGTGCACGAATTCAAATTCAAAACTGAACAGGAATACTATAATAATAACAATACATCCGAGAGTAGCTCCGATTCTTCTGTACTCTCATCGGACGACTTGGAACATTTAATTGATCAGGATAACTACATGTCCGATGGCACAAATGACGGTTTTAACAAGAAGACGTATATTATAACAGGGGGTAGGATAATGAAGAATATTTTGCTCCCCTACCAATCCATTAGGCTCAGGTGGTCCTTCATTGTTTTCACGCACGGATTTGTCACTTTGCCCAGCGTGCTAATCAAGCGCAAGACCAAGATGAAGAACAACGTCAATGTTTTCGCATCGGCCAGTGTTGAGTTGTTCGTGGTGTAGCGGCGGTTCGTGGTATATCGGCGGTCCGTGGGGGGTACCGTGCTCGCCAGTTAGGAGGCGTAACTTCGTTCGCCCTATTGTACGTAATTTGTTCACCGGGTGGCTGATTCATTCATCTGGCCGACTAATTGATTCACGTCTTGACTATTTATTTCTCGCCCCGTCTTTTTTTTTTTTTTTGTTTTCCCCGCATAAACAGGCATAACGCGTTGTCTCCTTTGCGACTTTTCTGGGCCCAATTTGCCCCACGTTTCGTTCACGTAAAATTGTTCACCTTTCTGTGGCAAAGTTGGTGTGGGAATATTCCTCCGCATGGGGCAGTCTTTTTTCTGGGGGGAGAGAAATTAAACTGATCTCAGGCCTTCTGATAGATCAACAGTTCGCAGTAGTTGGTTCCAGTTGGGGGTAGTTCATGTAACAGGGTAGGGTTTGTGTCAGTTGGTTGGCACAGTTCCTTCTGTGGCGTCGTCATCGGCTTGGAATGCCCCTCACGCTATGTCCGTGATCACCTTCTGCGCAACATCATGGTCGTTTTTATTTTTTTCATTCTTACGACATAGTGGGTGGATTGGAATGCCTCTCAAAGGTGACTAATTTTCTTAAACTTCAGGGGTGATAAATTCCCCCTCTTCTTAGAGTTGATTGATCATTTCGGCACAGGAAAAAATGTTTACAAAGGATGTTAGTGAGTGTATGAACTGCTGCATACATTTTCGTATAGGTGCGACCTTTTATTACCGCCCACAGTCCCTGAGGGTTGGAATAGCGCCAACCTCAAATTGAGAGCGGACTAAACGGGCACAAATGCCGCCCCCCCCTATAAGTCACTTTTTTATCCGAAACGGATTTCCTAAATTGCAGCCAATTGTACAACTTAAAAAATGAAAAAAAAAAAAATATAAGAAAATTATCAGTGAAAAAATTTCCATTTCAATGTTTCTTACAATTTCGAAAAGGAGAAGAGAATTTTTTTCATTTCTCTTTAAGGCATATATAAGTGTAGATGATTCTGAGGTTGGCGGGCAAATGTTGCAGGGACGTGTATGTGAAGGATATATTATGTATTTATATTTTTTTAAGTCAGTTTTAGCACACACTTGAAGTGAACAAATTTGCTGAGTTTGTGATTTTTGTCAAAATTGTCATTTTGTGAGTTTTTTTTGAGGCTCCAAGTTTGCTTACCCAGAAAAAGATATTCCGAAGATGCCGCAATGGGGGGCCGGAAATTCGAGGGCGATCGAGGCCAGGATGAGAAAGAAAATGGAAAAAGACAAGAAACAGAAACAGCTGGAAGAGAAGAAGTTGGATGAGTACTGGAAGGACGATGATAAGAAGGCTCAAGCAAAAATTCAGAGGAAGGTAAGGCCGCCCCACGTCATCCATCGTGTGGTTTTGGACATGCCACACTTTTTTTTTTTTTTTTTTTTCTTTCAAGGTTGGTAGCTTTCCGTTGCTTGGTCTCTGACCCTTAAATGCATCCCCTTTCTATTCTCTCAGTTGGAAGCCGAAAATAAAAGACAACAGAAACTTGACAGGAAAAAAGAATTAAGGGAATTATACGGAGAAGAAGAAAAGTCGCTCAAGTCGAACAAAGAAAGTGTAAGTCTATTTGCGGGGAATGTCTCGCGACGGAATTTTTGTTTTTTTTTGCTTAAATCGTTTCAGCTGCTTTGTTTCAGTTCGGTCAGTGGGCATTGTGTGTATTTTTTTTTTTTTTTTCAATTGTTCTGATTGTGTTAACTCTATTATGGGCATAGTTGCTTTTTATGCTTTTCCCCTTGTTCTTATTACGCCTCCTTATTTCGTCCTACTTCTTCATGTTACGCCCACTTCTTATTACGTTCTACTTCTTCATGTTACGCCCACTTCTTATTACGTCTTACTTCTTCATATTGCGCCCACTTGTCGTTTTTCTCTCCAAGAAAACTACCAGTTCCAAGGTGACCCAGGCGCAAATCTTGCAAAGGCTTATCGAGGAGAAGAAGAAAGAAATGGAGGAAGATAAGAAGAAGAAGGTAAGGGGGGCACATAAACTCGAAATTGTCGAGGCGTAATCTGCAGCGCGTGTACCCACGTAGTCATTTAGCATTTCGTTCAACGGCACACACTGTGCCACTTTTCACCTTGCTATGTTTTTTTTTACGTTGCCTCTTCCCATTTTTTCTCTTTAGAATAACCTTAACGTGCACGAGATGGAGCTGGAGGACAACATCAACCACATCCAGAGGGATGAGATTAACGACTACGATGAGTATATAAATGGTAAGCGCCGATGGGGGAGGCAATTTCTGGAAATGCAGAGAAGCATATATATATTGGGAATGTCAGTCGAGGGGGGGAGGTCCTTCTTTGTAACTCCGCAATTGTGCCCAGTCGACGGTGTGGTCTACATGACTGGAAGGGACGCGTAGATATTTGTGATACTTTTTTATTTCCCTTCCGCGCTTCATTTTTTTTTTTTTTTTTTTTTTCCCTTAGCAACCGGAATCGATAACGTCATTTCTGCGTTGGACAACGTCTCATTTGAAAAAACCAAAAAAGTGAAAGTTGTAAGTGGAAGAAGAAAATGCGCCTTTTTCGTTTCGTCTTTTTTTTTTTTTTTGTGTATCATAGTTATCCAAAAAAGTGGACACTATTTTGTCCATTTCGTACCATGCAAACGTGAGGTGCTTTATGATTGGCCATTTTTTTTTTTCTTTACTTTACCAGGCCTATAAAAAATTCGAGGAGGAGAATCTGCCACTTATTAAGGAGCAGTACAAGGGGTTGAAGCTCTCACAGTTTAAGCAAATATTGTGGAAGCAGGTACATTTTTTTTTTTTTGGAGGGATTATTATTACGACAAAGGGGTTAATCCGTTCTGTCTATGGCACGGCTCTAAGTGATCACACTTATGTATGTCGACATGTATAGACGGACGTGCATGTCCGAGTGAACTTCCAAGCATGGCGTCAATCTACTGAGAACAAAATTGCATCCGCCATTCGCACCTTTCATTTTTCAGTTTAAGAAGTCCCCCGACAATCCTATGAACCAGAGGGATTAAAATCAGGAGCGTAGGACAGGGCGACTATCAAGGAGAAGTCGCTAACTAATTTGACCCGTTGGGTCACGCCCTCCTTTTATTCTCCGCATAATTTTCTTTATTAATTGCCTCGCAATTTTTACTAATTTCGCAGTTTATTCATTTTAATATTGTTTCTTTTTTTTGTTTGTTTTATTTGATTTAAAATGATAACCCATCGGAGAGGCAAAAGAAGAGGGCACACGTGTGGGGGAAGGTCCATCCGGAAAATTATACACCCTCTCCGGTCATTTTTACTTATGTATCGGCAGCCACATAAAGACGCCACAACGGACGTTTCGCCACTTGCTCGATTTTTATTTGGGCGCAGTAGGAGAAGATCCCCCACCTACAGCGCAACTTTTTTTTTTACCTTAACTGGCAGGTTGCGTGCCCACATGCACACAGAACGTACATCCAACCAACTCATGTGTTTTCTTTTTTTTTTTTTAAACGTACGGAATGGTAATAGCCCCAGGGTGGTGTTAAAAATACGAGGAAGCAAAAGCAACCTGCTGCAAGTTGATTACTTTGGCTGAAGGTCATTCCATCATTTTGTGTATGCGCTATGTATTCAATACACCAAAGAGGCATTTATATATTTACGTACAGTTTTGCCGTTTCGCCGCTTTGCCCTCTTGCCCTTTTACCCTTTTACCCTTTTGCGATTATTTCAGGGGCGCCACGCCACATTATGTAACAACGGTGAAAATTATTCTGCAATTTTTGCGCCTTTCTTTTTTTTTTGGTGCACTCCCCCGTGTTGACGTTTTTTTTCCCCCCATTAAGAATGACATTTTCTTACCCATTTTAACCACCCATGTTAATCACCCCTTTTTTCTGTTAACCCCACGCAACAGTGTCATTAATGGCCCTGCAGATTCAGCGCGCCTAATTTTAACCCACACAGAAGTATATACGCACAGATAGATTATGCTGCATACAAACTCGCACGTGAATTTTGTAGGCGCTGAAATTGCGAGAGTTGTTTGTTTACGAAATCGACAAAGGGGGGGGTTACTCGTCCCGAGCTCTTTCACCCCTACGAGTTAATGAAGCAACTTGTGGAGGGAGCTCGAGTAGATCTTCATTGGCATTTTTACACACGTGGGCATCCCATTGCCGCTCCACTTGTATCGTAACACGCATTCACTGCTTCGTATAATTCCTCCTGCCTTTCCTCCCCTGTGAAATGGAAAAACTACTGTCGTCCATCGGCAGGCTGAGTGTAGTAGCGGGGGGGCTGAGCTTAATCCCTTACACGTTCATTTACGACGTAGATGGAGGAGAAAGATGCGTGATGTTTAATCGGTTTGGAGGAGTAAGCGAAAATACTTACGGAGAAGGAAGCCACTTCTACATCCCATGGTTCCAGACTCCGTACATATATGATATAAAAATGAAGCCCAAGGTGATAAATACGACGACGGGAACGAGGGACCTACAGATTGTTACCCTTAGTTTGAGGCTGCTCTTTAGACCGCACACAAAGCAGTTGCCCTACTTACACAGTACCCTGGGGCCCGATTACGATGAGCGTGTTTTGCCGTCGATAGGAAATGAAGTGCTAAAGGCAGTTGTTGCAAAGTACAATGCAGAGTCACTTCTAACCCAGAGAGATAAAATTTCGAAAGAAATCAGAGAAAGCATCACGGCACGAGCCAAACAGTTTAACATCCTGTTGGACGATGTAGCTATTACACACCTCAGTTATGGGAAAGAATTTGCAAAGGCCATCGAAGATAAGCAGGTGGCTCAGCAAGAAAGTGAGCGAGTGAAGTTTATTGTAGCTAAAACTGAACAGGAGAAAATCGCGGCTGTTATTAAAGCGCAGGGAGAAGCGGAGGCAGCTAAGTTAATTTCTTCAGCTGTTAAAGAGTATGGAAATAGTTTACTTGAAATTAGAAAGTTAGAAGCTGCCAAAGAAATAGCCGAGAATTTAAGTAAGTCCAAAAATGTTACTTACTTTCCAGCTAGCTCTAATATTTTACTGAACCCTAAAAATTTTTAGGGTTCTTTTTTTTTTTTTTAGCGCTGGGAGGGGGCGGAAGTAGATGCGCGCGTGTACATTTTTAGACGCCTCGCAAATTGGTGGCCGTCTTTTTGTGACATTTTTTTTCAATTCATTGCGCCACCTTTCGGTCAAGCAGAGCATCCTTACTATACGAAGCTATGCTGCTATGCGCGGTTTACAATGCGCTCTGTTTCCACCTTTGCACACACGGGGTGATAGTGGTAATCCTCGTTGCTATATTTTTAGTGAACACGTTTTAGAACCACGCTTATTGTGTAACAAACCATTTTAACAACTTTTCGAATGGAAAGAAAAAAATAAATATAAAAAGAAATAAGACTGCGTCGTTAGCTTCGCCATCCGTTTTGCCATTTGTTCCGCCATCTGTTCCGCGCCTCCCCTTTTAGCTACCCCACAAAAGGGAGTCCTCAACTGTGACTCCCTTTTGCGAAACTGATTCGAATGAGGTTCCTACAAGAAGAGGGGTAAGCCACTATGGCGTCGATGCATTTGGAGTGATGGTGTACGTCACGCACAGTCCAATTTTTCCAAACGTTGCCCCCATGTGAAGATACTTCGTTGGTTAATTCGTGATAAGTATCTCTCCAATTGGGGGGGTCCCCTTCCATTTGACTAATTAAAGTGTGTAAGTTGTAATAGGGTGAAAAGCGTAATCGTTCTTCGGAGGGTAACCAGCACCCACTTTGCCTTTCTCGTGCGATGTTGTGTTTACCACGTGGAGGAAAAGAAGGCAGCTGCGTTTGTTGTGTTACCGGTAATAACATCCCTATATGGAGTTCCTGTGCGCACATTTTTTTCCCCTTTCTATTTCCTTCTTCCTTTTTTTTTTGTAACGATTCCCCGTATGAACCTCATCCCGTGTTGGGGTTCAGTGTGCATAACTGCCCGAGTGAGCAATCCTGCTACCGACTACGCAGGAAAAGGGACGAAGCTTTTTCTATTTTGCAAATCGCTTCGTCCGATTATATGTGAATGATAAAAACGTCAAAGGGTCAACGCTTTTTATGTAAAAAATAAATTTTTCTTTTTTTTTTTTTTTGCAAGTGCAAATAAAGGTAAAAGAAGCCAAATGAAACGTGAAAAATGAATGAAAAATTGTATGTAGCAGGTGGGCAGAAGTATGAAAAAAACTATATGAACATTTGTATGCGAATATGCAGATGTTTGTCATTTTAATAAAATGAGTTAACTTTTTTTTTTTTCTGTTAAAATTGGCAACACCTTTTTTGAAACGCGTTGAAGAGGCCATCTTGATGATATCAGGACTGCAACACATTGGGCGTCTCCAAGTCTGTTACTTCTACGAGGGGGGAAACGTCCAGTGGGATTTATATTCACTCGTTTGTAAAATTACGAAGGCTTGTTTCATTGATGATAGTGAACGTGAAGCTTGGCAGCAGTTCCGAAGTTGTTCAGCTTCATCGCAAAAACGTAGAGAAAGATATCTCCAACCCAAGTTGTCACAGCACAAAATAGGGTAGAGGAGTTAACCCCACGTATGTAAATGCACAGCTGCACAACTCTTCTACGCAAGAATTCTACGCAACAGTTGTCCGCAACAATTCTACGTAACACTTCTACGCTGGTGACTTTCCCCGCTTAGGCTGTAGAAGTGTTAAGCCTCTATTTGTCCTCACGGCACTAAGCTTCACCCCCCTCGGAAAACCATATAACTACACAACCATGACGTCTATAAACATCGAGTCGTACTTAGAGAGTAGGGGAAAACGGAAAAATACCCAAATGGGTAGTTAACAATGTGGGAACTTACAAATCTGTTTGCTCCAAATATGTTACATTCTTCTTTTTTTTTTTTTTTTTTTTTTTCCCTGCTGCAGACGAAATATTAGTTATAACGAATGATAGTCGAATTTTTACCGGCAAACTGAAAGGCTTCGACCAAACGACCAACATCATCCTTGGCAATTGCTACGAGAGGATTTACAAAGAATCGCTGGAGAAAATAAGCCTGGGCCTGTACATCATACGAGGAGACACCGTGTAATTTGGCAAAAATGCGTTGTTAGGGAGGTGGCGAGCTCGAAATAGACCATTCTTCCATTCTGTGTAGCATCGCCCCTTTTGCAACCGCTACACGTGCCGTTTTTCCCTTTTCCCATCCTTAGAACCCTAATTGGCGAGATCGACGAGGATGTTGATAAAAATATTCTGCACCACAAGATAAAACCAGAGACGTTGAAGCCGGTAAGGAGAGTTGTCACAAAAATGGAACATGTGTCTGTGCATGTACAGATTCGTGGGTGGTCACATACACCTTCATCCTTATATGCATAAGGACGGACGGTGAAATGCTCAGCTCACACCTAGTTCTGATGCTCCCCGTCCTTAGTGCTGAAGAAGGCATGGCGCACAAATGTACATCACTCCCACGCATAATGGTCACTGTTCCTAACAATTCTTTTCAACTATTCCCATTCTTCGTAGATTGTACACTAGGAATTACACCCCATGTCATGGCCATTTGTGCATAATCGCCTAGATATCACAGGAAGGGCCTCGTATAACTATTAAGGGATTGGACAAATTTTTGTTAAGTCTTATTATGACAGGACAACCAATTCGCGCCGCCATCCGGGTCACGACATAAACTGACAGTTTTATGTGGAATAAATGACCCGAATGGTGGAAAAAAAAAGACAAAAGTGGAAAAAAAAAAAATTCATACAGGGCATGGATATAAGGAGAAAAAAAAACGCAAAGCGTAAAAAAGGTATGAATGAATAAATCATGAAACGTTTTTAATTATAGGACAGAAAAAAAAGGAAAAAAGGGGGAAAAATATCGCAAAGCGACGTATAGTCCCGCACGGTAAAATAAAGTGTGATAAAACATATACAAATGATTTAATTAGAGGGGAAGTAGTATAGACCTTGGGCGACGTTGCGCACGGCGGTGCGGTGTAATCTGCGTGTCTGCAGATTTGCACGTGGCACTTCTGCGCACTGGTTTAAGCTAATTACAAACCCGATGGGGTGAAAATGTAGAAGTAACACGCCGCAGAAGAGAGGGCAAAATAAATATTGCGTAATGCTAACTAAATGACGACGGGGAGGGGGAGGCCACTTGGTTAAGCAAAAGGTCAGGAATAAGATCTGGAAAAGGATCCGGCAAAAGCTCAAGCCAAATCCGAAGCAGATATGCCAGCCGGGTTCGCGTGGACATTACGCCTATGTGTGCACAAATGCAAAATGCCCCTTTGGTATCCGTACGTGCGAAACCCATTTTAAGTAACGTCATTTGATCACTTGGGCTCTTCCGCTTTTTTTTTTTTTGCGCAGTTGCTCGTTGCTCCTTTTTCCCCCTTGTTGTGTTTTTCCAACCCGCACGTACTTTCCCATTTGGTGCTACGCTCCAGGAGACGGTGCGTCTGCCCCGATTGTTTTCTGTTTGCACTGGGAAAGGGGTGCTATCATCTTCTTTTTAGTTCACTTTATGGTGTCATTTCTGTGTAAAAGTACCACGTCCAGTGTTTCACCTTGACCCCGTATTGTAGATGTACGGCTTGGACAGGGTGAACACCAACTGCCTGATTACTACCTCCTCAAAGAAGGGGGGCAAAATGCACCCCACAAATCAAGTGCCCAATAAAGCACACACGCAAATTAGCAGACCCAGTTCATACATTCCTAACTATATTAATATTGAAAAAACAATTTATTACATATTTGTATTCATCAGAAACTTTGTTGGCCTGGTGCAGCATAGTCATGTCGGCGATGTACATGTTTCCCAGTTCGTCATTAATGATATCGATGGAGAATTTTTCTAAGTTGGACTTATCTTTTAAAAAATTAATTAGGTCCACGGTTTTGTTGATCGGATTTTTGTGCGTGCTGGAGAGGGCATCTGCTGTTGTGCTCAAATTTGTTGTGTTCAGATTTGTCGTGATCAGACTTGTCGTGGTGGAGTTTGGAGGTGTTAATTTAGACGAGGGGAAATTGGCACTGTGGTTGTCTTCCGTGGGGGGTGAGGATGACGCGGATGGCGCGGCTGATGCAGCGGAAGGATTCACGCCGGATTCCGCATTTTGAATCGATTTCAATCTTTCTTGCTCATAAATTTCGTTCATTCGGTTTACGCAGTACGTAATGGCATACTCCTCTTCCACGGGTATATTGTTGTACCAGAAAATACCGGACCCTTGAATGGGCTTGATGGATAAATTATAATGAGGGAAAATGGTTTCTCCATCTTGGTCCACATCGTTCAGGTATATTAAAAGAGTGGCCCTCCGAAAGGTCCCGTCGTGGTGAACATTGAAGTAATTATTTTTCTCATATTTTACAATGGCTAGGGGTTCCAAGTAGCATAGTGGTATTTTGACCAAGTTACATATTGTATTTTCTAAGTCCATAATACTTTCATCCTTTGTGTAGACAATGGAGCTTTCGTTATCGACTTGGTTTTGCTCAATCATGGATCGGTTTCTAATTGTGTATAAGAAGACAGTAGAGCTTGTTCTATTAGACGAATCGGTGATTTTGTAATTCTCCTGTTTATCTGTTGCATACCCGATGGATGTTTTGCTTTTTTTGTATTTATTTTCACACAAGGATAATATTTTTTCTATCATTTTCCGGTCCAGTATATTATAAATAATGCTCATATTTTGTGGAGTCAGCTGGATTTTAAAAAAAACCCTGGTGTTTTCATCATTGGCTTCCTTCTTCTGTAGTTTGCTCCGATCATCGATGTCTATGTACTCCACCTCGTTGCTTAGGTAAAGGAGGAACGAGGAGTACTTTTTGAAAAAATGGATATTCTTGTCATTAATCACTTTTTTTATGATCGTCTGAATGTCGTCACTGTATTTTAGATCGTTATCGTAAAGTCTGATCCCGAATTGGTTCTTTTGATACTTCAAGGCCTTTTCCTCGTCCAGCGTGGTGGTGTCACTCTCCTTCATAGCGTCGTGGTTTTCTTCCCTCTGCTCTGCATACTTGTTCGCGTCCTTGTCATCGTTGTTGCTCTGCGTGTCCTCGGCGTTCTTGGCGCTTCCGATGGCCTCCATTGTGAGCGCTTATGGGGATGGGCGATGTTGGCGTTGTTGGCGGTGTTGGCAGTGTTGGCGGAGTTGGCCCTGTTGGTGGCGTTCACGACTTGTTATTCTGTTGGTCTGTCGTCTTGCTAACTCTAGAGGGGGCTTCTTAACTACGAGTTGTTCCCCTTTTTTCTACTACCCTCTCTTCCTTATGCAGTATCCTTACAGTAATTACGCTCTCTCTCTTTTTTTTTTCTTTTCTGGTCTCTTATTACTTCTGTTTTGTATGCGCATGCACGAATTAGCGGGGTTTTCATTTTTTCCCTTTATGCCCGTTTCTTCTGATTAAGCGCAAAGTAAGTGCGTATGCAAGGCGTGTTTGTTTGTTTTTTCTGGACGATTGCACTGCACACATACTTGCATTAGCAAAGGTTTCAGGGGGTTTGTATTTGCCGCTTTATCGTTTTGATTGTTTGTTTGCTTGTTTGCTTCTTTGTTCGCTTATTTGTTTGCTTGTTTCTTTGCTTCCTTGCTCGTCACCCTTTAGCTACCCCCTCTTTACCCTTAGCGTTTGTTTTTCTTTCGTTCTTTGTTCCACTTTGTGAGGTGATAAGCGATCATAATATGAACACCTCCACGTAAACGTACGCGACGCGCATATCTTGTTTGTTCTTTTTTTGTTCTTGTAATGCGCTGCGCACATGCGTAAGAGTATACATGTGAGTGGCTGTTAGCTCGGAAAGGTTGGGGCCCGGGCGGAGAGGAATATACGTGGGTACACGGTACGTATAAATAAACCGATGAGTACACGTACTTTTAAATTTATATGTACCCTTAAATGTACACGTAAAGGTACACGTAAAGGTAAACGTACGACTGGTACTTTTACGCGAAGTAAGATATGATCTATAAAGGTAAGTGTGGACGTAAGCTTTACTCTGATTTATTTTATCTCCCTTTTTTTTCTACTCTTAGATTTTATCTACTTTTTTTTCTTTTTTTATTCTTTTTAATGGTATGGTCCGTACTGCCGACTTTTGTGTCCCCCGCTCGGGACATACATGTATCGTTACCTTGGCGTGTGTTGAACGAATTAAGAAGTATGCACTCTTCAGTTTTACAAAATTGAATGGGGGATGCCCTGAAGTTTTTTTTTTTTTTTTTTTCTCTAGCCATACTATCACGAGCATTAACAGAAGAAATCATCGGTAATGTTTTCCGTGTTCGCCTTTTTCTGTGCATTCGAAAATGCTCTCTTCCTTGCTAAATTTTCGTTTAATGTCACCCTTTTTCTGCTCATAAGTTTCTTTATTTTTTCGTTCCTTTCTGATTTTTCGCTGGAATTCTCATTTTGTTTTTCTCCCTTTGTGGTTTCTTTCCCTTGGGCGGGCCTCTCGCCGCAGACATCGTTTAGGGTGAGGGGGTCGATTTTGTCACAAATGTCTTCGCCGAGTTGGGATATTTGACCACTTGGCGAGGGTGGTTTAGCACCTAAGGGATTTACACTTTTTGTGGGCCAGTGGGCATACGTAGCCTTTTTCGCACGTGTAGCGGCCTCTGCACGTGTGATGGCTTTTTCATGTGCAGCTGACTTAGCACTAGCGTCCGCTTCACCACGGGCGTTCACATACTCTGCTTCTGTTCTCAAATAAGGCGAGGTCCTTTTTCTTGATTCCTCCTCTAGATCATTTTCAGCGGTTTGATCGTTAAGAAATCTCCTAATCGTTTCCGCGTTTAAAATATCTTTTATAATTCTCTTCAGTTTCTGTTTTTCTTTCCTTTCCCTCATTTTTGCCTCGTTCGAATTTCCCATTTTAAGGCTCTGGCGCATCATTAGTCTTAGTTTAACCCTTTCGTTGAATCTGTTTTTTTTTTTGGTAAATGTTGGCCTTGAAGAGTGTGTCGTGGCATTATCCCCCTTGGCATTGTCCAAATCGTCGCAACTTTCTAACTTTCGTTTTAGGTTAATTTGTTCGGGCAGTGTGGTTGCTATTTTGTTAATATCCGATTGGTAAGACTGTTCCCCTTCGTGATCTTTTATCATCTTATTTTGACATTCTTCTTCTGTTTTTTCCCCCTTCATTTGAAGTGTTAAAATGGCCGTTGGTGAGTCCTCTAAAATAGCCCCATCCTCAGGAAAGGGGACGTCTATTATTTGTGCCCTCCCCTTCGTTTCATCCAAATATGTTATCATCAATTTTTCCCTCTCCATGACATTTTGGGAACAATCTTTTTGCATTTCTTTCGTATATTCTCGTTTCAGTTCTTTTACCATTTCAATTAACTTTTTAATTTCTTGTCGTATTTCTTCCTTTTTTGCGTCCCTACAAGGTACATCATCCTTTTTGTTTTCGCTGCTTGGTTCATAGTCTTCCAATTCGCTGACAAGGTCATTGACGGAGTCTGACACTTGGATTTCTCGCTGTTGATGGTGCACAGGAGGGGGGGAAGTTTGACTAGGTGTATTTACTATCTTGGGGAGAATTTCTCTACTGGCGTCCTCCACTATCATGAGGGCATTTTCGATGCCTATGTCCTCCATCATTATGGGGGCATCTTCGCTGACTACGTTTTCCATCATTAGGGGGTAATTTTTCCTACTTGCGTCTCCTATCCCCACCACGTCAATGTGCCCACTTGCACTTTCCATTAGCATAACATTGTCTTGGCTGCATACATCCTCCACCATCGTAGGGACGCCTGTGTTATTAATAGTCTGCCCCACAATAATATCGTTTCGGCAAGGTACACGTTGCAGCATCATGGCGTCATCAGCGCCACTTAACTCAGCTGCCACCAGGACTTCACTGTCACCGCTTACATCGGACACATCTGTAACTTCGCGAGTAGAGGCTTCCACGCTTTCCTCGATTGATATCCCCATTATAGAATCGTTTTCCAGCGCATTGATTACACTTTCCATTTTCAAACTGGAACGTTTCATTTTGGTAAGTAAGGTAGTTACATTTATGTCTCTCTCTTTTACCTTTTCAATGGAGGAGTCTTTTCCCTTTTTCCGTTTTGAACCCCTTTTATTGAAATTTTTTATGCCAGCATTCCTGTTATCTTCTTTAAGGCGCGATTTTTCCCTCTTGGGATTTTTTGATTTCTTCGGTTCTGCTTGTTTTACAAGTCCGTTTTTCATTTCTGTGAGAATTTCCTTTATTAGTTGTTTGATTATGAATATCTCTTTTTCGATGTCTCCGTTTGGTGGTTTTGTCGTTTGGTTCCTGATTATGTTATCCTTTGTGTGTGGTAGTTGAACCAGGGTCCCATTTTCCATTTGTTGAGAGCCCTTCTTTAGGTCTTCAATCATTAGCGTTCCTTTGCCTTCAGAGAATCCTTCACGTGTAATCCTTTTGATGGTAACTAGATCTTTTTTCGGATTTTCTAAGTTCCTGTTTGTGAGACAAGCTGATGTCATTCTGCCTTTGTTATCATCGACACTTGTCAATCCGCCCTGCGTTGTGATTTTCACGTCGGTGTCTTTCTGTACCACGGGAATAACACCCCCCAGCTGATAATTTTCTTTTTTCGCCAGAACATATTTATTTCCTCCTTCGGCTACATTAGTGCACATCTTCTTTGCTTGAACATTATCTGAAGCAACCTTATTGCCCATATCCAATGCTGTAATTCGATAATCCATTACACTCAATTTTGATGGAGCTATTATCTTCCTTTTTGATTCTTCGAATGTAATGTTTTTCCCTTCTATGGCATGTTCCCATGTGCGTATGTGTCTACCTCCGACGGGTTCTCCTGAACCTGCAGTGATGGATGTGTTTGGTATGTTCCTTTGTGTGCAAGTCAGTTCTCTTGATCCTTCTGCGGCTAGGTAGTGCGACCATATGATTGGCTGATTTGTTTTCTCTCCCTCCTCCTCTTTTCTTGACATGATAATTCTTTTTATGATACATTTTACACGTGGATCTGTCTTGAATATAGTAGTGTGGGGACTTTTATTTTCCCATTTCCTGCTCCCAATGTTAAAGTCTCCGTCTTTTATTCCCCCTGCAGCGTAGTGATTCGAGTGCACTTCTGCTTGAAGCCATTTTGAGGGTTCTTTGCATTTTTCGTCTGTAGTAGTGTCTACGTTTGCTAGGTGTGGTTTCACTTGGTTGATTCCTCCGACCTCCTCGACCTTGTTAAGGAATATTGTTTGCCCATGCATTACCATCAGGTTAGACTTCTTACCACTCCAGTGACAGATTTCTAAATGTTGGACCGTCATAGTGGTCCATTTTTTTACACAGTTGATCCATTCCATCTGGTAGAAATGAATGGTAAGCATTGTTCTCATTTTTGTGAGTGCTTCTGCTGCAGATGAGAGATAGGTGTGTCCCCCTTCATGTGAGATCCTGTTCTGTTTTTTTTCCAGTTTTTTCTTTTTTAATTCATCAAAGGGGAGGACTCGGTTCAGGTGAAGAGTAGCTAGCAGGTTGTACCTTTTGTTCGAGAAGGCGCTAAAGAGGTGTTGTCCCACTGAAGGGTTCACACCGGGTGTGCTTACGTAAAGAGAGAAGCTCATTTGGACGTCTTGATTGCTGGAATTTTGTTGAACGTCTGTGTTAAACGCACAAAATGTGGCCTCTTCCTTTCGATTGGTGAAGTGTATCCTCTTTTTCTTTTCTTGTAATATATGATGTATACATTTTGTATTCACCTTTTTAAGTGGGTTCACCACTGAGGGGGTCGTTTTTTTGGTCGCCGCTACTTTTACGTCAGAAGGAGAGTTAACTCTTTGCCCTTTTTCATTAGTGGCACTTTGGCTATTCTGCTCAAATTTGTCCCCCCAATTTGTGGCCATCTTTTGTATGCTGATTTTCTTGGGAATCATTACGGTTTTCACCTTCCTTGCTTTAACCCTTGTGTTTGTTTCTGCATCCGAGGGTAACTTTCTTTTTCTTTCGCCTCTATCTGTGGTGATGCAAACTTTATGCTTAGTATGGTTCTCTTTTAAGGTTCCGTCTTGGACACTCTGTCTTTCCTCGCTTTGAAGTGTTTTTTCTACGACTTGTTTGCTGTTTCTTTGTTCTTCTGGAACTTCCCCTTTCGTTTTTTGCTCAGTTGGACTAGGGATAGCTTGTTGGGTGATGGGACATTTTTTTATTTTTACCTGGTTGGTAGCTCCTCTATGGTGGTTCGCCATTTTGGATTGGCCCTTCTGCACGTGCGAAGGGCTAGGTACTTTGGACATGGCTTCTCCATGTCTTCGATTGGTTGGTCCGTTGTCTACTTGCTTCTTAATTGTGAAAGTGCTAGAATGAATATTTTTCCTGCTTTCATTTTTGTCTTTAACATGGACTGGTTTGATAGTTATACCTTTGTGATGTCTCTGAATGTCATGTTTGGTGGTCCCAGTTTTCAATTTTGCGAAAGCTAAATAGTCCCTATCTGCTCTTTTTGGTGTTATAATTTGCGTCCTCTGGGTATCCTTTCCTTTGGCGGTGCCCCTACTGAGAAGGTTCCTACTGCTTACCTGACGTGGTGCATCACGGCTTTGCATATCAGACAGTTTTGTCTCCCCTCTCTTAATTGCCATCAATTTGTGTCCATTTCTAATTTTGTCACTTGTTTTGATGCTTGCCCTTTGCTTCATTTCTTTCGAGCTTTGCATTTTAGTCGTCAGTGCCTTGATTTTGTTCTGGGTTGCATATTTATTGTGGGACTTGCTCGGAATTTTGTACTTTGGGGCGTCTTTGTTTGCCACGGTTTTACATGCTCGAGTGGATTTCCATTTTAGCAGTATAGATTTCGTCGCAGGTGGCTTTGTACTGCCTGAATGGGAGGACAATGAAGGTGGCGCCTCCAATACGTGTGGCATAATTTTAACGGATTTTTCCCCTAGGCGATCGTTTTTGTGCTCATTCTGTTTGGGGCAATTCCCTTCCGAGCCGCTTCTTTGGCTGGGACTGCTTTCTCGTCTGCTGGACCGGTTCAGGAAATTTAGAATTTTCAGTTTGTTATCATTCGCGTTGATTAATTCGTATAGCAAAGTTTCGTCGCTTTTTCTTGGGTGTCTTTTTTGACCATTTGAAGTGCTTCTCTCAGATTTGTTTTGCTGGTCATCTGATGCTGCTCGATTGTGAATCTTCGCCCGAGGGGCATTCATCCAAGCTGTGTTCACATTGACAGCGTTAGTGTTCGCTTGAGTTGTTCCATTCCTATGAGGGGCATCTTCGCTACACAAATTTGTGCATGCGTTTTGTCGATCCTCAGATTGCTCAATGAATTGTTTAATTCTACTTTTGTTGTCATTTGTGTGTATCAGTTCGTATAGCAGACTTTCCTGGCTCTTATAATTTGGACGTTTGGGCGAGTGTGTCTCCTTTTTTTCTTCTTCCATGATGTTCAAATCACTAGAATTTTGACCAGGTGATGAAACGGAGCTTGCATATTCTGTCTTCCCGCTACTACATGGTGAAGGTTTCTCATGGGAAATTTTTTTTGACTGCTCACAGGCATAGCTGTCCCCATCTGTCATTCCTTCATGCAAGTTGAAATTTGTGCGAAGTTGGCTATAAATTGATGCTATTTCAAATTTGTAGCTAAAAGTCCCCTTTGTGTTTTTATTGGTGTCCATTTGAATTGCCTTACTTGGTGGCTGGCGTGCGTGTTTCCTTTCGTCTAATTTTTGCTTTTCATCCCAAAAGGGTTGGACTGCTGTGTCATTTATTCTAGGTTTCACTTTGTTCATCTGACTTTGGTTTTTTCTTTCCCGCGTTTTTGGTTGGATATGGTGATTGTTAAAACCTGTCTTTTTGCATGTGCTAGCCATTTGACTAATTCGTCTTAGCCCTCCTGATTCCTTTGTCCTATTTGAATGGGTTAGCATGTTCGTCTTCGGCAAGTTGTTTGACCCGTTGGGAATTCCCCTTTTCGTTGGGTTGGCCTCAGCGAAGGTACGTTTCTCATTTCTTAGAGTGGTATTATGATTGGGTCTTTTTCCGAAATTGGATTCAGGTGTCTTCCCTAAGTGGGTCATATGAGTTGTGGATTTCCTGGATATATATTTCCCCCTCTTTTCTTCTGTAGTAATAGCAGAGTTGTCATTATATCCTGTTTTATTGCTTCTTCGGGTCGCCTTAGCAGCTTCGTCGGGTGAGTGAGGGTTCCTTTTTCCCAGTTGGAATTTCACCTTCCGATCGGTTAGAGCTTTTTTATCTCCACTTTTTACATTTTGTGATTCTCTATGTTCATTCTGTATGATCTTCTTTGCAATGCCGCGTTCTTCTGAGTCTAACGTTTTGGCAGCGCTACGAGGAACATCTTCTGAAGTGCCCATTCTGATAACATTTTTGGCATTGTTTAGATTGTCAGGTGAAGTTGCGAACTCTTCAGTGTCCGCTTTTCGCCCCTCCCCTTCATAAATGTCATAGCTATGTTTTGCTGACTCAGTGGAGCCTTTTATGTCTGCACTTTTCTTAGTTAGAATATAATTTTTCCATTTTAAATCACTTTTAAAAGCTATGTCTTGGCTGTGCCGTTTGGATAGGTAGGAACAGTTCACTGGATTGCTAATGATTTGGCTCGAATGAGTGGCATCATTTTCTGAGCCGTCCCTTAGACGTAAAGCAGGAAGACGACGCAATAGTTCTTTGCAGTTGTTCGTTCTGTTAATTAATGCATTTGTGTTAGTTTGGGTGTCAATTTTTCTTTTCTTGCGTTGGTTAATTTGCTCGTTCTGGTATAACCCTTCAGAACTAGGTATATTTGCAGGGATGGATCTGTCAGCAACGCTGCAACTGCTGCGATCAGAAGGAGTTTTATGCCTGGGGCAGTTTCCTCCAGGGAGATTAAATTTTCGCTCCATGGTGAGTCCACTTACAATGTGGAACTCATCAACATGGTTGAGATTATAACCTCCTTTTTGACTGAAACAAATTCCTTCGTTTTTTAAGTAGCTCTTTTTTACCTTGTTATTATTATAGAAGGTTTCCATTGCATGTGATGTTCCGCGTTCAGTTTCCTTGCCTTGAATGTGTGCCTCATTTTTTGGAGTGTCATTTTTTTCACCATTTGCATAGTTGCAATGGACCCGTTCACCAAAGGTGAAGCTTTCCAATTTTTTTGACAGAGTTCCACACGTATCTGTTTTTTTTCTTTCTCTTTTTTTGTCCCTAAGGAAGTTCGCATAATTGGGGGTGACTTCCTTCGCGCTTGGAGCAGGGATCTCCCTACTGACCACATGGTCAGGCATGTGAAGCCTTCTCGAAAGAGTTGATCTCTTCATTTTCCATTTTTTAATATGTTCTAAAATTTTATCCGATTCGGTTTTAAAAATGGACAAGGGGTTTTTCTCTGTGTTTTCCGCGTTCGTGACGCCGTTATCTGCCGCGGTTCCCCCGGTGGGGATGTACTTTTTTGTGAAGCCGTCCTTTTGTAAGACATTCACTCTGGAGGAGTGTCTTTTCACCGGATTTTTTCCCACCTCTTTTGATTTTTCACAAAGAGGGCTTCTAAAATTGCCTCCATTGGAAGCGAAGTTGTTACAGGCACCCCTATTTGTAGCACCCCTATCAGTTTGGTCACCACTGGTGATGTCGCTTTGGTTCTCTTCGGTTTTTCTGGAGCCGCTCTTCGTTGACAGTTCCATTTGAACTAAATTACCATTCCATTTGTCCAAACATGCACACTTCAGGCCATGCATATTGCAGAAAAATGTCCTAGGTTTAATAAAGAAATGTTTGTCTACTTGATCTGCCTTCATATTTGCATTATTGGTATGTGTAAGGGAGTCTAACCTGGATAGGACTCCGAAGTTGTTTTTAATAGTTACCCATTTGGGATGTGTTCCCTTCTTTTCCTTTTCTATGATTCGTTTTGCCTTAACGTGTTTATGTGTAGCAACTGGGAGGTGCTTCGCTTGCCTGTGGGGTGGTTCTTTCTCCATTTGGAAATTATTCAAGATGGAAATGTTTTTTTTCTTTGTTATCTGTTAACTTCTGTATGGTACTTTTCCTCCACATGAAAGAAAATGTACTTGTATAAAACGTTCGGGGTGGAAAACCAAAATGTTACGTAGGCATGGTGCGATTTCAGCGTTTTCTTTGAGATGTATGCTACACGGTAAGCCCATCTGGCGGGCGGGGAGGGGGAAAAGGGTAAGCAGCGAACCAGTAGGGTGCATACCCAGTGAGCAGAAAAAAGTCCTACTGAATACAGAATAGAAATAAAATAAACACATGGGAGAGGGGTCAAAAATGAATGTCTACTATGCTTATACAAATTCGAACAAACTTAACGAGTAAGACATTTCTCCAGAAGAGTACACCAAAAGTAACGCATGAGTAAGGGAAGAGGTAACTGCACTACATCACTCATCATTTATTCACTTAGATAATAAGTGGGCGTAGAAGTCCTACCCATCAAAACGGCAAGAAATAGGACAATGAGAATACATGAATAAAAAAAAAAAAAATAATCACAAGACGAAAGCGCCGTAAGAATAAGACCTTTCCATTTCAACACGATTTATTTTAATTTTTTTAGGGACAGATAAAAAATTCTGGAAAGGAGCATCGTTATGAAAAATGAGGACGATAGTTCCTCAGTGCAGGATGCAAGAAGTGGTGAAATATGTCCTTTTACGAAAAAATGTGTGCATAGTCGCGCCTGGGCACGGATGGATGGTAGCTTACTCGGCGTAAGGTTACCGAAAGGGAAAACACACACGCGATTGGGTAAACTCATGAATGCAAATATCTTCTGATAGAAATGCCCCAGCATGTGTATCAATACACCTGAATAATAAAACAAAAAGGGCATAGGTAACTTGTTGTAAGATTTAGTCTAAATTATTGTGGACATACTAAATAGGAAAACCCTTTAGCTTTCCACTTATCCAATTTGTATTATTAAAAAATTTGATATGGAGTAACAAAAAAAAAAAAAAATAAATAAATTGAGAAAAAATATTTGAAAAATAGTAATAATCGTACAACTAAACAACGAAAAAGGAAAAAAAAAAATTGCACATAT